AGGGTACCCGAATTCTAGTTAACCTAACAAAAAAAAAATGCCATGGATGATGAAACATAACAGGTCTGAAATGCGTTCCGCTCGTGAGGAAATGCTGTTCCATGCTCCCTTCAGTGCTGGCCACATGCCTACAGACCTCAGCATTTGGTCATGTGATCCCTGTAGAAGGGAAGCGTCTTTAGGCTGATCACATGACCACTTGCCCATGCCTTCTGCATCCCTGCAAGGCTAAACTTTATCTATCGTCTTTAAAGAAGAACTCCAGTTAGTAAAGTTAAAAGTTGTAAACGTAAGTCCGTATACACAACTACGGGACCATGCATTATACATGTATTCTTTTCTTTAAAGGCCTCATTTCTTTTTCTGAGAACAGTAGAATGATGGGCTTTACCAAAAAGCTGCCATTTTGTTTTGTCCATCCACAGCACGTTCTCCCAAAAGGATTTTGGCTTCCTCGGGTAAATTTTGGCTTTTTCTATGTTTCTGTGTCAGCAGTGGGGGTCCTCCTGGGTCTCCCATCATTCAGATGGCGACGTGTAGTGCTTGCTGACACAGTTGTACCTGGTGCCTGAAGGTCGGCTGGGATGTGCCTGGTAGTTGATCGAGGGTCTTTTATCCACCATTCCAACAATCCTCTGTTGCAGTATTTGATCAATTGTTCTCTTTCGTCCACGTCCAGGGAGATTAGGTACAGTGCCATGGGCTGGAAACGTCTCGACAATGTCGCGCACAGTGGACAAAGGAACATTAAGATCTCCGAAGATGGACTTGTAACCTTGAGATTGTCCATGCTTTTCCACAATTTCTGTTCTCAAATCCTCGGACAATTATTTGCTGATCTTTCTCTTCTCCATGCTTCATGTTCCACACAGAGACACACAGAAAGGTTGCACAGACACAACAGAAAGGTTGCGTCAGTTTTTCACCATTTTACTTGGTTGCCGATGTGATTTCTATATTGTCAGCAACTGTTATTGGATACAGGTGAGTTTAATTACAAATTACAGGAGCATCACAAACTTGGAATGCAATTATTTCTTCCAATTTGGAGAAGGTGCCAATAATCTTGTCCAGTCCATTTTTGGAGTTTTGCGTGGAATGTGTCAGATATGGATTTGTTTTGGGTTTTTTTTTTGTAATCTTTGATGAATTGTTCTCTTTCCTCCCGGGGACATCGGCTCCAGTGCCGAGGGTTGGAAACTTCCTGACAATGTTGCGCACAGTGGACAAGGGAACGTGAAGATCTCTGCAGATGGACTTGTAACCGGGAGACTGTCCGTGCTTTTCCACCTAAACTTGGAATGCAATTTGTATTTCTTGCAATTTGGAGAAGGTGCCAATAATTATGTCCGGTATATTTTTGGTGTTTTGCGTGGAATGTGTCAGATTTTGGCTTTTTTTTTTTTTTCTCTCCCACTTTTTTGTGTCCTACCAATACAAACAAAAGAAATAAAACGTGAGAATGCCGAAACATTTTGTCATTGCAACAATTTTCACCGCCAAGTGGAGCATTACCTGACAGCAATGCCAGGGTGCCAATATTTGTGGCCATGACTGTGGGTGTTGCGGGTGAGGAAGGTTCTATCCGGTGGGTTTACTTGCATTCCTCCTGGCGGAAGGGCGAGTGTTCTGCTGCACGGTGGGTAATGTCTTCTGGCTCATTTTGTCGCGGTATGCGCTCTGTTCGGAATGCGATCCTCCAGCTGCTCACCCAGCGGTTCTCCGGTTCGATGCAGATGCTGCAGATCTGTCGGAAAAATAAAAACGGAACTCCTTCCTGTCGTCTCCTGCAGGTTAATCTTTACCTCGGATACATATTTTAATTTGAGCGTTCCCCCATGCTGATCCGCCTCTTCGTTACATTGCTGCAGTATAGATGGCTGATCGGCACAGTCTGGGATGCTGAACATTTGGCACAGTATTCTTGGGATGTTTAAAGAGACTTCCTGGGTCAGATCTTTTTTTGGGGGGGTCAGGTTTATTTTTAAGAGCCCCCCCCCCTCCAGCCTTTTAAAAAAATAAGTTTTGCTTGCAGCTGAACCCCAGGCAGATATAAAAGACACAAATGAAGGCGGCTCTGTATTCACCAATACGCCAATCAATTTATTTTTTAATACGAGCAGTGTAAGTACCTGAATGTGACATAGGAGACTGATGGGGAGGACGGAGGTCAGATAGGAGACTGAAGGGAAGGACGGGGGTCCGATAGGAGACTGAAGGGAAAGACGGAGGTCAGATCTAATGTCATGAATGGTGTATACATTTGGGGTTCTGATATGCTAATTTGTGGAGATGAAGACAGTGGGAGGCATTCAGTAGTTTAGGAAAAGGCAAGTGGGCAGGGCTGACACCATTGAGTACATAGTGCTGGGTTCATTTCTGGCGGGTCAGTTTCTTCACTTTCAGGGTCTTTAGCGGCAGATGACACAATTCTATCTCCCGGATTGCAGACAATGTTCTGTATGGTTTTTTTCCCTGACATGCCCTTTAATTATCTCGGAGCGTTCCGTCCCTTTTAGTAGAAATGAATGGCGCAGTGCTTCTCATCCTCCAAATTAATTATCTGCCTTTTTTATATTTGTTCATTTTGGGATCCCTCGGAGACGCCGTCAGGCTGCCGACTTATCTAATTAGCTCTCATTTCTGCATTCAGGATGATTCTCCGCGTGCGCTCTGCCCTCCCCCCAGGGAGGAGATACAGAAACCTCCGCGCTGCAAGAGAGCGCCATTAGTGAACTTCTAACAGAACTCGCTCCTTCTGGTGGCCCCCCTGCGCCTGTGACTGCCGGCCGCATGTGCACAGATATGTACTGCAGGTCATGGCTGGTCTGCATTCTTTTGTCATGGGAGCTTTCCCTGCTCTGCTCCTGCACAATCAACATGACATGAAGGGGAAAGGCTGGAGTGCTTAGCCTGTGTGGTGTCTTTGGCATGCAAGCTGCACCTCCGGTCCGAGGTGGCTGCAGAAGTGACGGTTACATTTTGCAGGAGCACAGAGACTTCATGGAAAGCACTGTGGCAATGATGGGGTCCTGGATTCAGTTCCTTGCTGTATGGTGCTTGTATGCCGCCACAATGTTTTCCAGCTTATAACTCAATCGATGTCTCACACCTTCTCTATAGCCCTGTACAACGTGTGTTCTGATTGGTGACTGATCATTGCAATCAATCCAATGAAAATGTTGCTTCAGTCTCTGGCAGAGCTGAGTAGCAGCCACACCCCCATCACAGGTGTCCTCGCATAGGGAGAGAAGGGTTGTGTCTGACCAGGTCTGGTACAGAGTTGTGCTGGCAGAGCTGAGTAGCAGCCACACCCCCATCACAGGTGTCTTCACATAGGGAGAGAAGGGGCGTGTCTGACCAGGTCTGGTAGGGAGTTGTGCTGGCAGAGCTGAGTAGCAGTCACACCCCCATCACAGGTGTCCTCACACAGGTAGAGAAGGGGCGTGTCTGACCAGGTCTGGTATGGAGTGCATCGGGTCTGTCTCTGGTACCCACAATTATATACATAGCATATATACAATATCTGCACAGCGGCTGTAACAATAAAATGGAAGTAATAATATAAAAAAATTAAGGATATTTGTAAAAGAACACTCCCAGTGCAATTTTAGAAAAACTGACGGGGAGGGGGCAAAATAGGGTCTGGCCACCTCTACTACGTATCATGGATGTCAGTGATGGGGAGGGGCTCAGACACAAGACACCTCCCAATGGCTTTTATGGCCTTTCAGGATCATTCCACTGACGTTTGAGCGAATTGAGTCACTGACCTCGATCAAGCATGCAGCAAGTAAAGTCAGAACTCCTCTGTGCAGTGACTCAGAAAGCATTGAAGACAGAGGATCAAGATGACCGCCAGCTAACATTAGAGGGTTAGGCAATGCTTCCCCCATAATTCCTTCAAGCCCAAAAAAACTCAGAAATTGAATATATTGCGACTTATCGGTCATTTAGATGTGGTGGCTGTTTTAGCTTCCTTTCCTTTTCCTTTTCCTTCCTTTTCCTTCCTTTTCCTTCCTTCCTTTTCCTTTTTCCTTCCTTTTCCTTTTCCTTCCTTTTCCTTTTTCCTTCCTTTTCCTTTTCCTTCCTTTTCCTTTTCCTTCCTTTCCTTTTCCTTCTTTTCCTTCTTTCCTTCCTTTCCCTTTCCTTTCCCTTCCTTTTTCCTTCTTTCTCTTCCTTTTCTCCCTTCCTGCCCTTCCTTTTCTCCCTTCCTGCCAGTAGCACACTTCCTGCCCGAGGGTGACAACAATCACTTCCCCGTATCGCAACCGCAGAAACACAATAGGACTACAGAACCCCACCATTCCCCTATAGTCCATAACAAAGGCAGGGTTCTGCAGTCCTCAGTGAGCAGTGTAATGGATAGCAGTCAGCACTGGAAGTTATCCCTTTAACAAGATTTCCGGCAGGATCGGCTCCGGAATATTCCGACCCAGCGGTATATTTGACACGGCAACAAATAAGAGCAACCCGTTGTTACGGTTTACAATTTAAAGGCACAGTCCGTCCTTTTGGACGATGTTTCATGTTATAACTATATATAGGGTGTAATATGAAGCGTGGTCCTACACATCCCCAAAGCCCCACCCCCACCTCCCCTTTACCTGAATCATGGGGTGCATCTTCCTGCAGAATTCTGTGATTAATTTAGCGGGGTTGTGCATGGCTCCGCCCACACAGCCGCGTCATCCAGGTCCGGGATGGTGCGAATGGCTACGTGTCCCATCTGCCACCCTGGAAAAGGGACTGTATGGAACACACCAATGATCCCTACTCCCTCTGTTGTCCATACCTCTGCACAGACCTGAGGTTGGGGAAACCCCTGCAGGAACGTGTGCATTGCACCCACCACTCCTCTAACCTCGGGTGCGATGCTCTGCAGACGGCATTGTAGAAAATAGTCCGTGCACATTGATCATGACCTTGATGGATTTTTGCGGGTGCGCCATGTGCTGTCTGCGCTGATTTGTAAATCTCGTGTCTTCTCTCCTTTTCAGTACATCGAAGCGATCAGCAACAAGCAGAGCGAGCTGGAGAGCTTCGTGTCCGACGGGTACAAAACGTCTCTGACAGAAGAGAGAAGGAGATACTGCTTCCTGGTGGAGAAACAATGCGCCGTCGCCAAGAACTCCATGGGCTATCACAGCAAGGTGAGCTCTGCCAGGCGTCTACAGCAAAGGATTCTGGGAGGAAGGGAGCCGGCGAGCAGACGTGATGCGATGTCATCAAATATTACGGTGTCATTGAGGGCTCGTTCACACCAAGCGCGTTCCAGGAGCGGCGCAGTTACAGAACAGATCAAAACTGCGTCCAATGTATTCCAATGGTATTCTGGGCTCTAGTTCACACCGCAGCGTTCAGTTCCAGAGCATGTAAAAAAAACTGCACCCAGCCCTATTTTACCTGCTCTGGAACGCATGCAAGCGCCCCGGAATGCACTGAAAGCTCATTTTAAACGGAAAAAAAAATTGTTGTGTTTTTTTTTTTTTTTGGTTACGAATAATGGCCCTTAACGCATCAAAAACGTGGTATACCGCACTGCACTGCATGTGCAGAAACTCATGCAGATCTGGTCTGCATTTGGTGTGAACAAGCCCTTAAAGGAGAACTAGGAGGCGAGTGAAAGTCGCTAAGCCTCCTAGTTCGAGCCGACGTGTGACAATGAGACTGTCACACGTCGGCTCAATATATCGGGAAGTGAGCGAACATATACCGGTGCTCGCTCACTTCTCGATCTATCCCTGCAGAGAGACTGTCACTCACGGCTCCTTGCTGGGATTCCCCCCGTCTGTCCGTCCGATCCTTCAGCGCTGAATGGCGGAACGGACGGGTAGATAGGCAGAGCCAGCTGTCAATCACGCAGCTGGGTGGATCTCGACAGTAATGTCGGGATCCATCCCGGCTGCGGCGTCTCAGTATATAGAGAGCTGTAGCTCGCGGTATACTGAGCCTAGGGTGACGGGAGGACACTAGTTTGTATAGGAGAACTATGGGTAAAAGCCCTGACCCCATAGTTCTCCTTTAATGGTACAGTGTCATCCAATTTATATAATGTCATTGAATGGTATGGTGTCATGGAATGATACAATGTTATCAAATAATTCCCGCTTTTTACTTCTTAAATTTTGGTTCTAGAAGAAGAGGTGCAATTGGATCTAAAGGAACAAAATCATGGGAACTTATTTTTATAAAGCAGTGAATGTGACTTTTCACCAGACTTTTATTGCAGGTGAATCAATCGATAACATGCTCTCCAGGAAGATTCACCTGCAGTGAATGTTTGGTTCATGTCAGATTCTCTGCTTTATATAAATACACAGCTTGGTGTCCAGCATGCAGGAGGGGTAGGTTGTGGCAATCGGTGGTTATTTTTTCACCGTTGGCGGCAGCTCTTGACTCCCGACCAGTGAAATCCGATTGGACGCGATGGGCCACGCGCCGGCTTTATTGCAGTCCTGTTGCAGTTTTTGATGCATTATTTTTTTTTTTGGCCTGAATGAGATTATTTATCACAGTGCCTGTGCCTTGCAGTGTTTGCAGCCCACCGATTCCTCGGGTGAGGAGGGGGAGGGGGGGGTGAGAGCAATTGAAAATGAAAGCCGTGTTCCCGACTCCCACACACACGCATTTTGTGCTGCCCACATGCTTCTTACTCAGCGAGATGCAGTGCCACTTGCCTGTGAGGAAGGAGGGGCAGAGAAAAGCCCCTTCGCTGCTGACACGGCTCCTCTGCTGGAGGACGCGGCTGCCATCTAATGGCGGGATTCTGTTTGCCGACATTCACCGGAGGCCAAAACCGCCATCATTTGGGCATTGACGCAGTAAACACAAAAGTGGCATTTGCTCTCGGTTGTATGCCTGGGGGGAGCGGTGTTGATGTGCCGCAATCTGCGCCAACCAATAGGAGATTCTCCTCTTTCACTGATCTTCAGTCCTCGGAAGGGTTAACTGTGCTATTGTGCCTCATGCATCGGGATCTGCTTATATTTAGTCCTTTTGTGACGCCTAGATTGGGTTTAGCAGCATTGGTATTGCGTGGGTTAACTCGACATTTTTCTTAATGGCGGCAGGCCTGGGAACTAGGAACACGCACAGTTGCACATTCCCAGTTCTCTGCTGAGAAATGATTTAATGTTCTCACAGCAAACTGCATCCTCCATGTGGGCATAACATTTTTGCTGTGTGGACAAAGAAAAAAGCGCTCATGAGGTTCTATGGTGCAATTTCTGTGTTGTGCAGCCTATTCAAATGAAAGGAATTACGTAACTCAACACATGGTTACACGTTGAAAAACACATACATATATAATATAATTTTTTTGGGGGGGGTTTGTGGACATCTGACCATCACACTTCCCTTTATGGCCAAAAGTATGTGACTCCTGAGTTCAGGTGATACTTTATCATACAAAGACATTGTAGACAATTGGGCTCTTCCAGCCTTGTTGTCACAGTTTGGTGAAGACCCTTTTCTGTTCCACCATCACTGTCCCCTGTATACAAAACCAGCTCCATAAAGACATGGTGTGACCAGTTTGGTGTGGAGGAACTCGAGTGTCCTGTACAGAGCCCTGACGCCAACCCTACTGAACACCATTGGGATGCATTGGAACACTGATTGCCAGCCAGGTCTTCTCATCAAACATCAGGACCTGACCACACAGATCGGACAGATTCCCACAGATACCCTCCAAAATCTTGTGGAAGCCCTCCTAGAAGAGTGGAGGCTGTTATAGACATAAAGGGATGCTAACTCCATATTAACAGCCATCCGGGCGAGGACTCCATAATAATGACCATGGTTTTCTAGTTGGATGTCCAGCAAGCCATTATAGGTCCGATGATTAGGTGTCCACAAGCTTTTGGTCATATATAGTATGATCATCTGGCCAGATATAGATATTATGAAGAATTAATGGATGTGTGACCCATTTACTGGTAGAGAACACAAAGATCTAAGAACATTTCTGGGGGGTGTTGTTGGGACAGGAACACCTGACTGGCCACACGTTTTATAGCTTTTTCTTATGCAGGTTCTCAAAGTCCTTCAGCTGGCTTTTGTATAGAAAAGCAAAAAAGGCTTGAATGGGGCCAAACGCAGGTCAGAAGGTCAACTGCAGGCCAATAAATTCTGAATGGTCTCATACACATTCTGTAGTGATGCCATCAACACAAACCCATCATCACAGGCCCCTAATGTTCAGTTATTTGTGGTTGGTCACAGTTTAATTCCGGTTCTTCTATCTGCAGGGCAAAGACATTTTGGGGCAGAAGATACCCTCCTGGCAACAAGCCTGCATCGACCCGAGCAAGATCCCCGACCGGGCCATTCAGATCATGCAGCAGATGGCTACTGGACCCAACGGCACCATCATGACGGGTACTCTGTCTGGGCCCATGACCAACTCTAAATCCAGCCTAACCATATCAGACCCGATCCCTGGTGCCAAGCCCCTGCCGGTGCCCCCCGAGCTGGCTCCTTTTGTTGGGGTATGTACATAATTTTTGTTTTATATTAAAATGTATCAATTTTTTTTTTTAAATGATTTTCGTGTTGTAGCAGTTATGTCTCCTTTCCTACCCTTGCTTTAAGTAAGCGGGACCCCCATCCTCAAGGGTTGGGCTTGCGATAACTGACCAGTTTTTCTGTTTTATATGACCACAAAAACAGCGCGCAGTCCCAATATGTGAGAAGAAAAACTGATTTATAGCGTTTGAAGGAATTCAATATTAAAATGTAGACTAGAGTCATCCTGACACGTCTTGAAAGTTGGCCACCGTTCCCTTAATCTGGCCATAAATGATACAATCCCGTTTTTGGATTGATCAATCACTATGGGACCTAATGCTGCATTCACATGCAATCACGCAGGCAATAAATATGTGTTTCTGAGTCGGGGCAGTTCAGGGAAAGGTGACCCCCATTTCTGAGACTCGGAGCTCCGAGTTCATAGGGTGGATTTTCCAATTGGATGCCGACTCCACCTTACGTGACTTAGGGTTTTGTTTCCTCCACAGAGAATGTCTGCACAGGAGGGCACACCCATAATGAACGGTGTCTCTGGGCCCCCCACCGGCAACTATGAACCCTGGATGGACATGAAGCCCAAGGTGTCTCCATCCCAGCCACACAAGCAGATCAGCGATTCCTATTCCAACACACTTCCAGCCCGCAAGAGCGTCCCGCCCAAAAACAGTTACACCGTCGGTGAGTATGCACATTCACCTTAAATGAAAGGATGTCTTAAGGCAAATGCTTTTTTAACCATTTGTATCCCAATGGGCATAGTTGCATTGATTTCCGTCCCATAGACATAACAGGAAGTGAGAGAAAATCTCTCCAATGTGAGGGAGATAGCGCCTCAGACGGATGTCACCCAAACTAGTGTCCCCATTGGAAGATTTGCCCTCTGTTCCTGTCAAAAACTCATAATTGTGAATTCTTGGTGATGGTGGTCACCAGGACAAATCGGGTTAATCTCTCCAGTGGGTACTCGGACCACAATGAAAACCTAATAGAGGTTCTAACCCTCCACCAGAAACTAAAAATAAAGCATTGGCTATACATGCATACAAGCTAAATTCTAAGGGAAAGGGATTTTATTTGCAGAAGGTAGATCATGGCCTCCTCTTCTGGGTGGCGTGGAGCTGGAATTGGTCTTCTGCCCCATCCATCTCCCACCTTCAGGATGGTTATGGGTTAGGCTGAAATTCAGGTTACTTTTAATCAGCTGAGTATTCCAATTGGAACATCACACAGGGTGCATGAGTATCTCTGCAGCCTCTAGTCACTTCCCCATAGAGATGCATTGAGGATTTTGCCAGGCCAATGACTACAGTAGCTCAGCTTCCTCTACTCTGTGGGACCTGGAAATCATTGCGGACCTGGCAAGGCGTAGAACCCCAACCGAAATGGAGGAAACTATTTTTGGGGAGCAACGTGGATAAGTTGAGAGAGATCGCAGGCAGTTGTTCTTTCAGCCATTGCCCAATGGGGCCCAGAACGCCTAAATGGTTCTAGGCAATTTTCTAGATGACACGGAGTTTCTGTAGACTGATAATTTCTTTAATACGTCGCTCTTTGTGTTTCCTGGACAGCGGAGAACAAGACGCTGCCGCGATCCAGCTCCATGGCGGCAGGCCTAGAGAAGAACAGCAGGACGCGGGTGCAAGCCATCTTCTCACACTCGGCTGGAGACAACACCACCCTGCTCAGCTTCAGCAATGGCGACTACATCATCCTTCTGGTCCCTGAAGCCAGGGATGGCTGGCACTATGGAGAGAGCGAGAAGACAAAATTGTAAGCAGTGCACGGTGAAAGAGGAGAGTGACTGAAATAGTCAACGGGCTGAAATGGGCTGAAATGTTTTCCCGGAGAAACTGCTGCTCTGGCCGTCAGTACTGGCCACATATCTAAAGGCTTAGGCACATGGTTCCAGCCTCCCTAGAGATCACATGATCAAATGCTTAAACATAAAGACATATGAGAAGTACTGGGAAGAGCCTAGAGCAGCATTTCCTTCAGGAAGGTCAAGTTTTTGGTTTTATCCTGTTCCTTCTTCTGTAACGTAGGACAGGGAAACTATTTGCTATGTAAATGGTCTTCATTGCCTATTTTGTATCCTTGTGTGTATTGCCCAGTGACCCCAAATTTTGAGATGTTGAAAATGCTTACCAAGCTTGGAAACTAATGTCTTCTGTCTTCCTGTGTCTTGAAGGAGAGGATGGTTCCCTTTCTCGTATACGCGGGTGGTGGATGGTGGACGTGATGCCGGTAACCGTACTCAGAAGTGAGTAACCAAACCAGTCTACCTGTTCCCTGCAGCTGATGGGGTAATGGGTCACCTGGTGTGCCTAGGAATGCAGCTCTATCGGTGTCCTGGCTGTAGACTTTCTAAAATGAGGGGTTTTTTTAGTTTTGAAGACTGCAGATTTTTTTTTTTTTAGGGCTTCTGTGGATTTCAGCCTTTCACTTCAGTCTTGCACAGCTGGGGAATGACTGCTCTGAAACAGGAAGTGACAAAATCCTTGTTGCTTCCAGGTTTAGTGAACGGATGGTCGCTGGTCTCCTCTACTAGCAGCACACACTCGCCATGCCGGTTCCAGGCCAGCAGTAGGGGCAGCGTGGGGTGTTGTGTGCGATGCACAGGGTCCCCTGCAGTGTATGGGGTTGTGTGCGCGACGCACGGGGGGGGGTCTCTGGGTGACATCCCTCTGGAACATCATCGTGCGCTTACCTGCTGCTGGCCATCTAGGTGATGGACGCCGACAAAAAGAGGAGAGGACTTTATCCCGCCGGGTCAATTCCTCTCTCGTGCAACTGTCGGGCTCTCAGTCCATGACCGAGTGCCCGACTTTTCAGAGGGGGGTGACTGACTGTCATTTTGGTGTCACCCGGTGCGGGCCGCACCCCTCTTGTGACACCACTGGTGGGACAGTACATTTGACAGCTCATGGAAATGATCAGGCGGCTTTACACATGTAAGCTGTAGCAGCTGGGAGTCTGCCTACAGGGCCCTGTCACTGCTGCTGAATGGCATGCAGCGGCAGCAAAAGGGTTAAGTAGGGCTTCAACCCCGTGTCAGCACGAGCCCATACTTTTGTGGTGAAAATGCAAATGGGGAAAGTTCAAAGTGCGTTTTTAGTTTTTGGGTAATGACGGTCGAAGTACCATGTGTACAGCGCACCCTGCTGGGGGGTGCAGCAACTCCATATTAATGTCCATGGTTTGGAATGGGATGCCCAACAAGCTCATATAGATGTGGTGGTCAGGGGTATACCAACATTTGGCCATGTTTTGTACAATACACCCACCATGGATCTCCTCTCATAAGACCTGAGCTGGTGATGGGGATATAAGTGACAACGGTGCCATTTTTTTGTTTTGTGATCCTTCTGGTAAAAGCTGAATTCTGATTGGTTCCTGGATGTCTGGTCCCTGTGTCTTGAATATGTCAGCCCTGTTTAGGGTCCTTTCTCATTTTATATGTTTTTTGTCTTTTTGTTTCCTCTCAGCTTACAGCCTGGAAAAAGCAGCAGCACTGGCAATCTGCTGGACAAAGACGACCTCTCCCTCCCTCCCCCCGACTACAACATGGCATCGCACGGTTTCCCGCCGCAGGCGCCTGGCCCCTATAAGCCCCGACCCTACAGCGTGGCTGCCCCGGTCTTTTCACAGGTTAGTTAGAAATGATTGTTTCGAACTGTGAATCTTGTTTTTTTATATGGCTCAGTGAGCAAAGTGAACCTTCCATAATACCAGCCAATCGGAAAGTTGACAGACTGTTGAAGGCCACTTTCTAATTGGCTGCTGTAGGTTGCTCCACAACTCTCTTCCGATAGAAAAAGTCACTTTGCCTTGGCACAGCCTACATAAGGGTGACAACTCTACTCTGAATGTTGTCACCTCATCACAGCTTCGATAGAAAAAGTCACTTTTGCCTTGGCACAGCCTACATAAGGGTGACAACTCTGCTCTGAATTCAGGAGCAGTGCAGCAATGTTGTCACCATCACATTTGGCTGCTGGATTCATTAATAGATAGAGACAGGATGAGCAGCCATTCTAACTATTTATTTTCACTTTAAACTGAAATATCATTTTTGTTTGGACTTGACCCTAAAACCTGTGTTTTTGTGTTTTTAATGCATTTCTTTATTCTGAAGGATTTAAAGGTTTCCCGTTGATGTGACTCTAATGCTGGTTAACACAAGTCTGTTCCACATTGCTTTATGTTCCTCATTTATAGGGTTACTCTGTACCCTATGGGTATACTATACAAAGGACTGCCAGCGGTCTCTATCCACAGTCATCCAGACTGTACAAACCTTGTAAGAGGTCCACGCTCGTAAGTTGGTTGATCACGGCCACCTTCCTTTGCAGACTATGACAATCCGCTGTCTGCTGTGGACCATATGTGGTACCCTGACTTTTTGGTTTGGTGTAGTGCAATTTGTTGCATTTTGGCCCTTCCTGGCAGTTGTATTTTCTGCCAACATTCGGAACCCTCATACAAACAATCTAAGATCTGTATAAACCGTCAAGGTGCAACATAAGAGCAAACAATGTGATTTGCTGCAAAGGAAGACCCTACAGCTGCACTTCTACCAGAAATCACCAAATATCGTTGTTCTCAAAGGTTTTTTTTAAAACCAGTTGAAGCTACGTTTTGGGGGTAACAGCCAAAAATGTAAATCGGTCCTCTCCAGTGAACGAATATACCAAAATCTGCCATGGTGGTTTCTGTGATTATATTTTTTTATACTTATGTCTTTTGAGGGGTTTTCTTTTGCACTATATGGCCGAAAGCTTGTCACCTGACCATCACACTTGTATGAGCTTGTTGGAACTTCCAAAAATGGTGGCCTTTAATATGGAGTTGCCCCCTTTGGCTATAGCAGCCTCCACTCTTCTGGGAATACTTTCCACTAGATTTTGGATGGTGTCTGGGGTAATTTATCCCATTTTGTGAGGTCAGGTTCTGATGTTGGATGAGAAGACCCGGCTCACAGTTGATGTTTTAATTCATCCCAAAGGTGTTCAGTAGGGTTGAGGTCAGGGCTCTGTGCAGGACACCTGAGTTCCTCCACCTAGCTGGTCACACCATGTCTTTATGGAGCTGGCTTTGTACACAGTGGACAGTCATGGTGGAACAGAAAAGGGTCTTCACCAAACTGTCACCACAAGGCTGGAAGAGCACAATTGTCTACAATGTCTTTGTAGGATGAACATAACCTTCACATGAGGCATCTGACCTCCATGATTGGAAGAGGGGGGTCACATACTTCTAGCCATGTAGGTAGGGGTGATGGTCAGGTGTCCACATATATTTGTTTGGCCAAATGGTGTTCTGTTGATGATTTGATTATCATAACATTTTGATACTCGGTCTCGCATAAGTTATTAACATGAAGTTCAGGTGACCAACCTCCACACCAATCCATGTCTTTATGTCATGGTGGAACAGTCAAAGTGGAACAGAAAAGGGTCTTCACGAAACTGTTGTCACAAGGTTGTCACTTTCCACCTTCCTGCTTTTTCTGCCGGCCAGTTTGTTGCAGATCTGGAACCCTGCTGATCCACTCACCTCTGCCACTCCAAAAATAAGCAGCCAAGAGCTCCACTTATATTAAATTTAGAAGCCAGTTGAAGGCCAGACCCAGTAAGGTGAAGTGCTAGTGAGTTTTGTATGCAGCGTGATGACATCACCTGTCTTTGGTGACAATGACGTCTTTTTGATTCCGGAACATGGAAGGTGCATTAGTCTCAATGCCTTGACCCGGCCTGCCTCCTGCATAATCTCCCCGGCCCTCCACAGACGGATTATCCACATGCTGGCTGTGGTGACCTTAAACCGCAATCCATAATACCTGTAACGCCGCAGCTCTATCTTGTTCCCTTCTGTGTGCTTCTTAGCTGCAAGAGTTAACAGCTGACATGTATCTGAAAAGGGATGTTAAAATATTCCAGCGGATATTTATATCCTCTTATGCGAACGCAGGCGAGCATGTCAAGCTCACCCAAGCTGCAGAGAAATTCTATTTTAATCCTCCCCCTTTTTTTCACCGTTATTTAAACTTCATCATAATGTAACGTGATGAAGGCTTGAAGAGGAAGCCCCGTCCTGGGCAAGAAGTCTGTGGCTTCTAATGGATCTGCTTTAGGTGTTTACCTGTTTATTATTTTATCTCGGTTTCTGTAGCCGAGATAATTGCCCAAATGCAAATCTGCAGATCTCCTAAACTACACACCATGGATAACTGGGGGGGGTGAAGGAAGACCATACATGGTAGACACCATGGATAATCGGCAGATGTTGAGGAAGACCATATATAGTAGACACCTTGGATAACCAGCGGGTGTGGAAGACCATATGTGGTAGAAACCATGGATAACTGGCGGGCGTGGAGGAAGACTATACATGGTATACACCATGGATAACCAGCGGGTGTGGAGGAAGATCAGACATGGAAGGCACCATGGATAACCAGCAGGTGTGGAGGAAGACCATGCATGGTAGACTCCATGGATAACCAGCAGGTGTGGAGGAAGATCAGACATGGTAGACACCATGGATAACCGGCGGGTGTGAAGGAAGATCAGACATGGTAGACACCATGGATAACCTGTGGAGGACGACCATACATGGTAGACACGATGGATAACCTGTGGGTGTGGAGGAAGCCCATACATGGTAGACACCATGGATAACCTGTGGGTGTGGAGGAAGACCATACATGGTAGACACCATGGATAACCAGCGGGTGTGGAGAAAGATCAGACATGGTAGACACCATGGATAACCGGCCAGTGTGGAGGAAGATCCTACATGCTTGGTCTTCAGTATGGACTTTGGGTTCCTCACCTTGAAGCAGAATGACTTTGGCTGGGCAGCTCTTAAACTATAATGCCACCAAGTGTAATTTCAGGAGTAATGTACAATCTATAAAACAAAGAGCCTCAGACCAATGCTAACGTAGAAGTAAGAAAGTCTGATTTATTGATGCCTGTTAATAAGCTGATGCGTTTTGGGGTTTATCGAGGACCCTGTTGGTTCAAGGGAGCTTTTTTTTCACTGATTTAGACATACCCAACTGACATGCAGATGAGGGGGAGTGACCCCAAAGTTTTCCTAAAAAATAAAATTCCACCCTGTAGCTACCCTGGCAGGTGCGGGATCCCTATCCTGCTTTTTAAAGTATTTGGATGACAGAAGAATGACTTCAATATACAGTTTTAATTGCCGGAAATAGCCATATTTTCCAGTTCTACAATACCAAACTCCCCCAGCAGATGGCACAGAAGTTGCAGATCTTCAGTTGTCCATGGAACGTGAACAAAGAGCCATCTCGGCTACTACACCGAGGGGTCCCAAACATGTGTAAACCCTGTTACCCTTATACATTATGCTGTATACAGAGTAAACCTTCTCTAAATCCTCCTCATCCTATCTACAGCCATATCTCACCTGAAATATGAGAGCAGGAGTGATGAAACCCTTACATCTCCTACAAGCTATGCAGGTCTGACCGTCTCATGTTCTAGCATTTTGTGGGTTTGGGGCATTGACAGCCGGGTCATGTTTAGGGTTTGCACAGAGCTTACTCGTGTGCCTGGAGGGGGCCAGAAGTCTGTCATCCTATAGCGGTCTGTACAGCCGTTCCTTCGTTCTCTTACTGTTTTCAGTAATCAGTGGAGATCATATTTGAAAATACATTTAATTTTTTGGCTGGTGTCCCCTTTAGGATTGTAGCATTGGTTGTCTGGAAGCTCCTCTGGGTCCACACAGGGGACACTGAGCAATGATTTCTGGCAGAAGTCCTCCTATTCAACAATCTTCTGTTTCTTGGTTGTCCTTGTCGCTCCCTATTAGTTTTGACAAATACGGTACAATATGCATTTTACATCCCCCATCAGGTACAGCTAAGCAGTGCAGCACCATCCCCACCCCCACCCCCACCCCCAAATGCATATGGGCTGCTTTGAAGCCAGACCCGCTAAGTCAAGACTTCATCATCATTCACCCTGTCCTGGATGTGGCTTCCTTCCAACTAGATTTGGAAGAGCGCACTGCTACCCAATGGCTTAAAGCTCTTAGTTGCAAATGTAAGGTAATTTAAAGGGTTAGTCCACCTAAAAGTGATTTAGGTCCAAGGCTCTGAAGGGTGAATCTCCAACCTTCTGTGAAGGAGTTATATACAGCAAAAAGGGTGGAGAAAGAATCATTAGTCCATTCAATGGGACTACACTCTCTAACCACTTAAAGGTTTGCAGCAATGTGAAAAAGGTCCCACGATGCAAAGGGAAGGAGGAATCCTATGGCAGTCAGGGCAGTTTTCTATTTTTTTGTCTGGGGTCCCCCTTTAGGACTAAAGAATTAGTTTTCTGGAATTGGATTAAACTTCAGCTTCAAGTGGAAGGGGAAGAGCCACTGTCTGGTTTTGTAGCAATTTGCATACCATTTGGGAGGTTCTTTCTTGCTTCTTGTGCCACCAGGACAGGACGTGAGTGGAAATCTACCGAGACCTATTGACCGCAATGCAAATTTGAAAGAAGTTCTGACTTGCTGCACCAAAAAGGTGTCATCACATTTCATGGATTACCTCTCACTTCCTGTCCTTGTGACTCAAGAGGAAGTGATGGGAGATCACAATGGGGATGCTGACAGTAATCCCAATGGAGTTTCTAACTCTCTTCTTTTAAATATTTCATGTTATGGGGGTTCCATTGTCTACAGAGTGGTTTGTGGCAGTTGAGGGCCCTTTTGTGTTTCCCATGGGAGGGGCACAGGCATATGGGGCACATTGGGTAATGTGGAAATGCCCTGACAAAAAATAAAGAATAACTCATAGGCAGAAATGTCCTTGACCCTTGGGCATCCTTGTCCATAGATCCCCAGAGGTCTACAGACCAGTGGCTGAGAAGCCTCTCCTCCAGTAGGAACAGGTAAAGCCACGCTGGTGTGACCTGACTGGTGGGCCATGATTGGAGAATCTTTCCTGAAGCCGTGGAGACTTTGGGGTGTTTGTACCCCCCAGAAGCTGCATAATCCATTTTTGGGTGGACTTTTGACCCTTTAAAAGTAATTTCCTTGCCCTCCCGCTTTCATTAGAAACCCCTCAGCGCGGCATCGTCTTTTGTCTTTCAGAAAGTTTCGTTTTATGGTTTTAACTGTTTTTTCGTTCTTCTCTGTTCCTCATTAGGGTTTAGATGACTACGGAGCAGCACGTCCCACGAACAGGTAATCTGATATGTGGTCTGTTTAACATTGTTTTGTATTGCTGTGATTTAGTATTGAACTCTGTGCATGTGGAACTCATTGTGCTATAACGATTCTGCATCCTTTCTAGTGTATGTGTTGCCTGTATTTTACATTCTGTTAGTGTTTTTGGAGCATTTTTCATTCTTCGTAGTGCTCATGGCCTGCAGTATCCCTTAACACCTGTGGGAACCTGGCGCTGTGTTCAGTTTCCTGTCCTTAGTTCATATTTGTCATGTCCTCGACCGAAGTTCAATTGACTACCACCCTGCCCACAAGGCGGCATACAAAGGTTGGCTCTGTTTTTTTAAAACATTTAAACAAATAATTTTTAGTAGAGAATCTTGTTTTTTGGCATGTCCTGAATGCCAAGTTCTTATGTATTGTGACTAGGACAAAAAAAAAATGTTTTAACCCCAGGACAATGGCAGCATTTGGGCTCCCAGAACAGATAAATGGAAAGAGTTTATATTTGGGAACTCAACATTTTTCAGTATGTTTGGCATCAAGCCTCACTGTATACAATTTTCTTAAACATTACACTTGTAGTCTATTCATTCTTCTTCCTGTTCATGTTACTGAATGTCTGTATCTCGTTACAGTCAGGGAAGGGAGGGAGAATCTGCAGGAGCCAGAGCATTGCACCCGCTATCGACTGGTCACGGTTGCACTTCTTTATTGGCTTCAATGCAAAAAAATTATGAATGCATTCATTCGTTTTTTTTTAAATGGTGCACTTTACTTTTAATTTAACCTAGCTGAGGGTCCTCAGAGACGATCCCTTAATGTAGCCTAGCTGTTGGTCCTCGGAGAAGATCCTTAATGTAACGTGGCCATTGGATCGTAGAGAAGATCCTTTAATTTAATGTACCTGTTGGACCTTACAGAAGTTCCCTTTAATGTAACCTAACTGAACATCACAGAAGATTCCTTCATGTAACCTCAATGTTGGACCTCAGAGAGGATCCCTCAATGTAACCTAGCTGTTGGTCCTCAGAGAAGATCCCTCAATGTAACCTAGATGTTGGTCCTCAGAGAAGATCCCTCAATGTAACCTAGATGTTGGTCCTCAGAGATGATCCCTTATTGTAACTTAGCTAATGAATCTCACAGAAGTTCCCTTAAAGGAGAACTATGGGGTTAAGTCTTTTCCCCATAGTTCTCCTTAGGGTAACGGGAGGACACAAACTAGCGTCCTCGCGTCACCCTAGGCTCAGTATACCGTGAGCTGTAGCTCGCGGTATACTGAGACGCCGGAGCAGATCCCGACAATTGTGCCGGGATCAGCTCAGCTGCGTGACTGACAGCTGGCTCTGCCTATCCAAAGGCAGAGCCGCTGTACCTGCTCCCTCCCCCGTCCGTTCCGCTAGCGGATCGGAGCGGGGAGGGGGGAATCCAGCCCCTCCCCTGTCATGGCAGAGAGCCGTGACAGGATCGAGAGGTGAGCGAACACCGGTATGTTCGCTCACCTCCTGATTGACTGAGCCGACCTGTGACAGTCTCATTGTCACAGGTCGGCTAGAACCTATGAGGTGAGTGAAAATCACTCACCTCGTAGTTCTCCTTTTTAATGTAACCTAGATGTTCCTCACAGAAGTTCCCTTAATGTAACCTAGCTGTTGGACCTCATAGAAGATCCCTTAATGCAACCTAGATGTTTCTCAGACAAGATCCCTTAATTTGACCTAGCTGTTGGACCTCAAAAAAAGATAACTTAATTCAACTTAACTGTTGCTCCTCCTCTGGAGGTAGAGTAGCAAACTACTAAATGGATTCACTTTGTGGTTAAGTGGAAAGAATGCTGTTTAAACATTTTGTCCAAGTCTTTGAGTAAGAGATACTGCAGCTTGTGTTGGCCATCCGTTTTGTGACTTTGTGCCATGGTCTTCTGATGACGTACACCTCGGCAGTACACCTTCTACTCTTTTTTTTTTTGTTGTTTCACAGCGGCAATGGAACCATGATATCCACTGTGTGAGGACAAGCTTGCACAGACATGGCAGCTGCTGCTTTGAAGAACTTTCATCTTTTCTTTCTGAAGTTTTTCCCCCCTACTTGGAATCCCTGATTTTCTTGGAAATCTTTGTTTACTTTTGTACTCTCTGGAAATGCTTTTCTAGGTCTTTTTATTTCCTCCTTGTGAACCCCAATGCGTCCTTCGGGGAATGCCTAACCTTATTGCAGAGCAGTGGTTGGTGAGGTCAGCATGCCGAGGCTCAGCAAGCGGCTTTTCTCTTCTTCCCTTCGGCTTTTTTTTAATTTTTTTTAGTTGGCTTTTGTCTTTTACGGAAAGGGTTTTTCAGAGCAGAATTTGCCAAAGTGTAATTATTGAACATACAGAAAAGTTCTATTACCATTTAGAAGTTTTATACTAGTTTTTACCTGAATGTTTGTGACCCGTTTTCTGGCCTTGGCACAAGCCAGGCCACCGTAGCAGCAAGGGGGAGTGCTAAAGGGATTATTTTGCTTCATCTTGGAGGGGGGTTTGAGTTGCCCGTTGAACTTGTCAATGACCCTTTTGTGCAGGGGAGGAACTATTACCAGCTATTACTATAGCAGCCCACAGAGCTGTTGTGGTTTGAAGGTGCCCCATGTTGAATTTGCCCTTTATTATTATGTTACGGTGAGGAAGGGGAGCTCTTCCACTGACCGAAAATACTTTTCTGGCTGTATTGGTTGCAAGCAGAAACATGCGTTTCAAGAGCGTTCCCAACAGCTGCCCTTTAGAAATGGTTCTCAAGTGTTCTCTCAGATCTGTAGAGGTGGCTTGCACCCACTCAAGAGATCACCCAGTAAAGATTCACTCACAGCAGGTGGTGAGGGGCAGTTGATTACCTTACCAGGTCTGGAACCCCAGCACGGGTATCTAATCCCTCCACCCTGACTTGGCTTCTGTAGACGTTTTCTGCTTTGAGCGTAGCTTCACGTGCCCCTGGCTGGCGAGTTCTTCTGCATATTCCCATGGAGAAGTGGACGCATGGCTCCCTCTTGTGGGTCCTCCAAAGAAATATACATTCAACTGAGGCCAAAGTCATTAGTAGCAGAGTTGAAGGGCCAAGCTCGACCTTTCACGGGCACCTCAAGGGTGGGCAGGAATGTCCCTGCTAGGATCCCACATAAAGCAAAAATCTAGCAGAGTGGTCACAATCTGGACCACACCAATAAAGTGGAACAGCGTTTGACCCTCTGATAGACCCTCTGCTAGACCTTTGCTGCAAACCCTTTGCCACAGATGATCTTTTAAGGTTTAGCTAGGGCGGGTAATCCCTTTAGATTACACCTGTCACTATGTAAAACTTCCTCTAACAGGCCTTCTAACTCCTCAGCAGACACCCTCGGCTCATGGGTGGGCCTAATGTACCCAGCACCTAATGTACCAGGCAACCTCTTATTGGCCCATAAACAGGGGGTGCCCACAGCACAGGTGAGCAATACAAAACTGCAGCAGGTGGTGCAGGTGAGAATTTCTCATGAAGCTGGATGTAGCTTTTCAAGGCAACTCCAGCTTCATGAGAAATTCTCACCTGCATCACCTTCTGCAGTTTTTTATTGCTCACTTGTGGGCACCCCTTGTTTATGGGCCAATAAGAGGTTGCCGGGTACATTAGGCCCGCCCATGAGTTTCTTGGTAAAAGCTTAGATCTGCACTCCAGATTTCCGAGCTCTGGGGACAGTGCACGTAGGTGCCTGAGATGGTCTGCTCTTGGAATGAAGGTAGTTTAACATAGTGACGGGTACACTTTCACTTCCTTACCCGCTACCCCTCCAGGTGTATGTGCTTTCTGTATGCATGGGGCTATGTAGGGACTGTTACTGTTTTTTCTCTGCTACCTTCCGCTCATAATATTTCCCATTACCCCCATAGACCAAGTGATGCTGCTTTTTACTCTGGCTTTTCTTTGATGAACTTTGATACCTAAAACACATTGCTTAAAATAAAAGCTCCATTTTTTGTTAAGGCAGAAAAAAGGCTTCCTCTTTTAGGCCAACAAGGATCTTGACAAACTCTATTGCAGCTTCTTACCCGCTTCTGTTCCGGAGATGCATTGCAGCAACTTCCTCAAAGTGCTGACTGTCGGGGGTTACAATGACACCGTCATGTGTTATGTAAAGAGAACCTGTGTCTCTGAACCCCCTCTAAATTTGTAGCCAGTTGATCACCAAAGATGAAGGGCTCACAGTAGCAAATCCAGGGGCGGCACTGGATGCCTGAGAGCTTGCCTTGGGTTCTGTCTGGGGGGGAAAAGCAGTGGGCCAATTACATACAGGGGACATTCTGTACATTAAAGGACACCTAAAGCCGAAACCTTTTGGTCTTTGTACCCACTGGGGAGATCCACCCTCTATTTGCCACCGTTACCATGATCACCGGGACAGAAAGTAAGGGGGTGGGGGGTATATGCAAAATTTTACACTTGCCATCAAAACAGGAATAAGGGGATCTTCCAGTAGTGACATCTGCTCCGGTTACAACTGTCTAAGAGTCTGAGGGGGGTGGGTGCCACCCAATGTACTAAAAAAAAAGGTGTCAGTTTTTTTTAATACAGGTCAGCTTTGCCCCCTTTGCAGAGGAATAAGGTCAAAGAGTTCTTCTGCCCCTTTAACTCTGTCCAGGAGCATGCAATAATACGCAGCAGGCTCCATTCTCATTGGTTGCATTCAGTCTGATGTCTGCGTGTTGACCGTACGCAGGGAATACGATCGGCGGATTCCAAAGCTCGATGCCATTTTTTATGCGAGAAGCCATAGCTTTTTTTTTTTTTATTCATAGGTCAGATGCTGACATGCTGATATAGTGACCGTCCGCCCAGAACTTGTGTTTCAGTTTTTGGGACAGGCTGACAAATTCCCTTATTGACTTTCTCCATGGCAACTGGGTAGTTTTTTCTTTCTCCCTTGCTGACTTTTTCATTTTATATTCCTGAATTGGCAGCAGAAGAGGTGAGACTTCCCTTGCCACGAGGAGTTACAGTATCAGACGCCTGCAGATAGATGCCTGCGGAGTCCCCCGATGGATAGGGAATGGGCTTTGCCAGCATATGCCAAAAATTGAAATTCGCCTAATGGGGGCCGGCCTGCACAAAGGGCTGTTACCTCTAAGCCATCCTAAAGGGGGTTTCTATGTCTAGACGACGTGATCTGTGTACAGGGAGGTTTGTAACATACGGTCATGATCTGCAGCCAGTGAGGTCGGTGTAATTACATGACGTCCATCGTCCGTCTGCTGCGATTTAACAGACAGCTTCTGTAGTGCAGCCTAGGGGCTTGTATTTCCTTTATATGGGTGCGCCTCTTTCCTCTATGCCTAGATCTCCTCCTAAAGCAGTTGCACATGCTCAGTAAAAAGGGGAGGGGGGATTTTATTTGTAAAAGCTGGAAAGATGTTTCAAGCCTCACCATAGCGTTTCAGATGTTCAACTTGATGAGGCATTGGAAAAAAAAAAAGCCTGTTTTGTGTAGTGTCCGTGCTATATATGGCACTTGCATTTGTTTTTTCAATGACTTCCTGTTTCTCTACACGCCTTTCCATGTGATGTAGTCACATGCATGTGAGATCGAGGACGGAGAGCATCTCTCAGCATGCAGTTTTAAATCTCCTAATTGCTAAAATGATCGTAAGCGCATACGCGTCCATTTAAAAAAAAAATCTGTTTACAGTACGTTTCTGTGGCTCTGTTAGGATGACTCAAGCTTGCCATTGGGAGTCCAAATGTATCAAACACAACATGGTACAGCAAAACTTCATCAAAGTTTATGTATAAAGTCAGTGGAAGTACATTTATAGGTGATACCTGCATCGAAAGATTGTCAGGGATTGCAGTACATGCGAAGCAAACACGGAGATTGGTCTGCTTCCATCTAGTTGTATAAAAAGTTTGCTCTTTCTTTTCTGTACACCGTATATTAAATGTATTGGCTTCTGCCTTTTTGTATTTTGGCAGCAAACAAAAAAAAAATAACGCTCCTAACTAGGGCGTTCCTAACTTATTCCCATTTCTCTGCTGTAATACAGTATACAGCAGAGAAAGGGGAATAAGTTGTGAACGCCCCAGTTGGGAGCGTTATTGTTTGTTTGCTGCCAAATGTATTGGCTTCTGCCTCTTAATAGTTTGGCAGCAAACCAAAATATTGCTCCAAACTGGGATGCTCCCAACTTGCATACAAGCCACATTAGACTGGACTTAAGTAGGCTATACAGGGTTAGATTTTTGCATGAATGTTCGTACGAAAAAACTTGTCGGAACGTTCAATACTGGCATCAGAAACTTTTGTATTTAACGTTCGATTTTGGAATGAATGGAGTTTCCGAACGAAAACCATGCTCCTAATTTTTTCGTCACTGTGGTTGAAATTGATTGTGTGTGTGTGTGTGTATCTATATATATATCTATATAGATAAAAGTTTATAATTTGCCATAAATAATTCACAATTTTAGCCCAACTGCCCAACATTTGATCTAAAAAATATATATATTTTTTATATAAATTTAAAA